ATGAGGGTGGTTCCACAGCCCCTGGCACAGCTCCAGAAACAGTCAGCACTGAAAGCAAGAGTTTGTGGGCAACAGGAAGCCTGAAACACCCCAGTGATCTCCTAGGCTTCAGGGTCACCTCACAACCCACCCAAGACAAGAACAAGGAAGGTCTCCCCACCACAGAACCAGCCTGAACTCCTCAGAACACAAACTGGGACCAGCTGGACAAAGCTTGAAAAGTCCTCCCCAAGGCCCAGGGCACAGGGAGCAGTGACTGGAGCCCAGATGTGCCCGGGGCTGGCACAAAAGCAGCCTCCTTACCTTTGAACTTCTTCAGCATGTCCCTCATGCCCAGGCAGTGCTCGGGGATGCTGTAGTTCTCCTTCAGGGTCACAGACACAGCCTTGGGGGACTGGAACTTTACCCCCTCACACCTGAAAGGAGAGCGATGCCCATGGGCTGTATCCAGAGCCCACAGCACAGCCAGTCTCCTGCTGGAGGTGGGTTTAATGTCTTTCTGTTGGCTGCAGAGATGCAGGAGCTCCCTTGAGCTCTTCGGCTGTGAAGAGCACTAGAGATAACTGCTGACCTATTGGCAAGCCTGATGGGACCAGGGCTAAACGAGGCAGTGCCATCCCTGGGGCAGCATGGCCCTCAGGTGGAGACATCTCACACACCAAGTAAGCCCTTGGCTCTGGGGCCCTGGAAGAAGAGGATGGAGTCTCTTCTCCAGCCTCAGCTTGTCTCAGTCCCTTCTTTGTCAGCCCCAGAAAGGACCAAACCAGACCCTGGGCTGGGAGTGGCTGGCGTGGAGCAGACATGAACATCTCACTGAGAACCTTCAGGCAGCCAGGATGGTAGGAAGAATGAGCACAGGTGCCTACCTGCTCAGGATGCTTTTCATGTCCTAGAAAAAGAGAAGAACCGTTCTGGGTGTGGAACCTCAGAGCCTTGCACCCATCAGCCAGCCTGGTCCCAACCACCCACCCAGAGGGCAAAGGCATGAGGGCTGGGTTAGTGGAGCTGGTGGCATAGCCTGACCTTGAGCAGCCCCTCAGCTGGCTGCTGGGTCTTCTCCTTTACTTCCAGGATCAGCTCCTCCAGCAAGGACTTCTGCTCCACCATCCTGGCCAGGTTCTCATTGATCAGCAGCAGGATCCGCTTCTCCTCCTCCTCCAGCTTCTGGAGCAGCAGCTTCTCCTCGTCGGCCAGCAGCCGATGGAGCTTCCCAAACTCACTCACAATCCTCTCCCTCTTCTTCTTCACTGTCTCCTTGCAAGGAGAAGATAGAGACACGTGGGGTGAAGTGAGGCAACGCTGGCCAGGAAGCTGACACAGAGCAGGATTCTCAGGCATCCCTGCCCAGCATCAGGTCCTGGGAAACCACCACATTTTTGTGATAAGCACATTTATTAAAAACAACCAGCCAGAGGCTAACTGCTGGGCTTCCACCTTGCCCGAGTGCCCCCTCGACAGCCTCAGTTTACCAGCAGCAGGACTCTGCCCAGGGCATTTCTGCTCAGCTGGACTACAGATGTTCCCACTGAAGGTGCTTCAGGATGGCAAGGAGATGCCATCAGGTGTCCAGGTGGGTTGTTACCAGATGTGGTACCACTATTCCCTAGACTCAGACCAACTTGCTGCTCGAGCAGCCCGGGGGAAACTCTCCATAGCTGGACAAACCCACACAATGGGAAAGAGGTAGAAGAAGCCCTGGGTCTGGGGAGGGCTGGAAACGGGGAGCCAGGAGGACTCCCTGGGTGTCTGAGAGCTCTCACGGGGGTCTGCCGGTGCTTTCAGCCCTAAAAATTGGCACTTGGCTCAAAATCTGAAGCACCAGGAAAACACATTGTGGTTTTTAGCCAGGGCCATGAAACCTCAAAGCACTGAAGATAAACAAAAAGTAACTGAACCACAAATATCCTCCTGTCCAAGCACATGATTTCCCACACCTGAGTCATGGAGGCTTCACAAGCCAGGCCGGTGACAGTCACTTCCCCCACGGCTCCTAAGGGACCTTTTATCATTTTTACTAAAACAGCCCAAGCAGCTGGAGGCCGGGAGGAAGCCGGGGGCAGCCGAGCTGTGCCCTGGAGCCCTGACCCGGGGGCAGGGGCAGCGACAGGGCTCTTCCCCAACCTCCATCCCCAGCCCTGAGAGGGACAGCGGGCACACAGGGGCACCTCAAAACCCCACCACCCACTTGGCCAGGCTGCGCTGGGCAGGCAGAGGAGCTGAGGAATAACCAGGGGAGTCAGGAGAAACCTGTTTTCCCTGCCAAAGCTGAGTCACCCTCAGTCCCAGCTCAGGGCTGGGTAATTCGTCCCCCCGGTTTCGTTTCCTTTCTGCAGTTACTTTTACTTTCCAGTTTCCAGCCCAGAGGGACGTGAGGTGCAGCTGTTCTGCTGGCAGCCTCTCTCCCCGGGACTGCCTGGAACAGGGCAGAGGTGCAGTAATTCAGCTTTTATTCAATGCAAACACTTCTAGTGCCTATTGGTGCAGAGCAGAGCTCAGCGGATGACCTGGAACTCAGGCGTGCGTTGTAAAACAAAGGGCACACCAAAAAAAACCCTGTGAGAACTTCTTTAACCAGCACACGAGCCCCCGTGGTCTCAGTGCTGCTCTTGGCAAAGCATTTCTTTGCAAACTTTTTGAATGTTTTTTAGAGCTGCCAGGCAGTCACCGAGCCTGGTTTCCAGCCCCAGTCCCCCACCATCGTGAGGACGATGCCCGATGCACAGACAAGATCATCCTTGCTGAAATCTCTGGAGCTCCTTCTTTAAGAATTTAGCCAGGCACCTGCCTTGCACTCCTGGGTTTTCATCCTCTCTGCTGACTCACGCTTCTTCACCTCCTCCACTTCCTTCAAAAGGTGCTCAAGGGATTTGTGGAGTTTGACCTGAAAAGAGAAGAAACAGGCTGAGCTCGCCCCAGCTCAGGCGGGTGCCTGGTGCCAGCGGGCAGGCAGGGGACATGACCCCGTCATGCCAGGTGGTGCCAGCCCTGGCACCCGAACCCCGCAGCTGTGCTCTTCACTCTGCTCTCAGCGTTAACCCTCTCCACGCTCCTTGGGATGGCCTCCTATTTTCTCTCACTTTTTAGCTTTTGGAGAACAAAGTGACAGGTCCCCTCAAGGATGGGGCGCGGGGTGGCCACCACCCCCAATTTTTGGGGAGGGTCATGAAGGGACAGGGATCCACGCTGCCTCCAGTGAGCCCGGGTGCCTGCAGTGAGGGCGGCTGGGTGGGTGCCACCATCTCTGCCACCCTTCCTCTGCTTCCCCAGCAGCACTACCGGGGCTGTTGTTGTTGTTGGGGTGTCCTGGTGGCCGATCCCCCCGACACCATCACGCCCAGGGCGCATCAGAGCGGGACGGCGACCCCCCGACCCCCCCTACCTTGTACACCTGGGCGGCCTCCTCGATGGGGTAGACGGTGTGGGAGCGGTGGTGCAGGGACTCCCGGCACACCACGCAGATGGCCTCCTCCTCCTCCTCGCAGAAGAGCTTGAGGCGCTCCTCGTGCTGGGCACAGAGGGGGGGCCCCGGCCCCGCCTCGGCCTGCGGGCCGCCCC